AGCAACCAAGGCCAGGTCAAAAGGTTTCATTAAAGGTGTAAGTTTGCTATGGAATACAGTTACCTCTCCATCCTCACTCAGTCTTGTTAAGATTTGTTGATTAGAACAATCACAAGGCAGAATGGAAGATAGAGGAGGTACTGGGCCAGTCCAGTTACACTGGATGAAAAGGTCTAAACATGCCACGCCTATGAAAAACACCACTGCATGTCTGCAGAAAAATAGAGGGTAAAAATGTGATCAGTTGTCAGTTCTTTGCCAGACATTAAGCTTTACTTCATTAATTTTCATAAAACTGAATGTTTACTAGACTGCAAGTACGTAAAGTAGAAACTGTATACACCACTTTCATAAATGGCCGCCGGATTGATATTCTTCCCTGGTGATCTTCTCGTATGATAAGACGTAAAGCCGTAGGTCCCGTCTCCTGCAGGGTTAGGGGTAGGAGACGTTAATTTCCCATGCACGAGATTACTATGTGGTGGATGTCCTCCCCGGGGTGGGATGGTGGGTACAAAGGGGTTAGGTGTCAATTGGGACGAAAGTTCTATTCCTTTCTCCTGCCATTCCCATGGCAAACAAATTAAATTCCTAAATTCCTTAAATGTGGGCTTTTACAGTATTGGGTTTGCTAACAGGATTCCATTGAATTTGGAAAAGTTTACATCAGTAAGGCTGGAAGACTTAAGCAAGACAGAATCAAGGAGCATGACAGAGACATCTACCTCCACCGAATGCAGATCTTTGTCATTTAAGACTAGCCTCGCAACACTAGAGACTGCCCTCTCTACTAAAGAAACCTGGTTTGCTCTCTATCCCATAATTCAGAGTTCATGTTGAAGAGGTTTGATTGTATAATGTTAAAATTCATATCCTGCTTAACTTCCCAAGCCTCCAGCATTACTCACTGGTAATTCTCCGTTTTTGATAATTTTTGCAATTTCATCTTTCAATTTAATTCAAGATCAAAGTTAAAAGATCTGTTCAATTGACCTTTGCCTAAAGAAACTGATCTACAAAAAAGTTCTCGATACCCTGGCTCTTTTGGTGTCATAGTAATAAAGATACAAGTATCCAAATTCCAGGTGGATCTGGCTTGCACTGCTCCTGAAGAAAAAAATGTGGAGATTTAAGTTGTTCATATAATGTATCACCAAGTTAACTTACTTAAAAAAAAAAGCTTAAATGTATCCTGAGATATCTCAACTCAACATGGGAAACTGAACATCCACCTATGTCTAGGCAACATAAGATGCCAAAGCCTTGAGAGCTGCAGGTGTCGGCCCCAGCCTTGTTGCTGTTGTGTTAATGGGAAATACAATTCACTCTCACTGAACCTCTCTCCACCCAAGGCTATAAATGGGAAAAGGCTGCTTGTCAGGGAAACCTTAAAAAATGCCATGAATTAGCTGGTGTCCTTAAGTACAATGGGTTGGCATCCCATCCAGGGAAGGGAGGGAGGGGTGGGGGGGGAGTAATGATACCATTAGTCATTGCAACTGAAATTAGCTCTTACATGATGGAAAGCCGACAAGGGCTTGAGGCATAAGACAGCACATTTACTTAAAATTAATAACACTGTTACAGTATTATATAAAAACAACCAACTGAAGAAAGTTCTGAGTATCTTTTAAAACTTCTGAATCTATGCCACAATCACTTATGTTTACATACATGTATCTCAAATTAAAAGACACTGCATGAAGTTTGAATAAGACAGTACATTTACTTTATTAAACCTTAATTAACAGTTATATCTATTCAGCACCTGCTTTGTTCTTCAGAAAGTAAGGTTGAGCTCTCTTGAACTGCAAAAAAAAAAAAGAAAAGAAGCATATTTCATGACAGTCATAACACCAAAAAGTTCAGTAAATTATTGGCTTTTCACATTTCTTTTTTTGTTTTCTATGCAATTATTGTATACAGTATTGTTAATCCTATACACACACACACACACACACACACACACACACACTATGTTTTACTTTTTAAGAAAATAAAGAACTCCTTTTTACTATTTAAGAAAAAAAGAACTCCTTTTAACTGTTCAGTAAGTTTGGAAAACTATTGATAAGAAATTAAAAGAAAAGGAGAATTCTGCACATCAAACCTTTATCTATCAACCTAAGAATCTTATTCTTCATAAAATCATTTCTTTCATCTGAGAGTTGTCTCTGTATTGCTAGACATCTTAATGCCCAAAGGGAGGCAGTCTGAAAATAAAGGTAGTGATTGATGGGTACAAGCAGAATAAGACACTTCAATTCATTGTCTATAATTATAATGTACAACCTTTAAAGAATTTGTTTTAAGGAATGGCCACAAAGAGTTTTTGTGGATTCTATGGATGACATCACTCTGATGCTTACCTCTGGGAGAAACAGTTTAACTCTTAAACATAATTTATTTCCCTCTGATTTCCATCCTACATTTACCATTAATGTACCCTTGGGAACTCACACCCTCAATGAATCAAACAGTGATGGACAAAATACAGACCCCCAGTCTATGGACTTCCCAAATGGACTACCATAAGATGGACTAGATTAGCCCTTTGAGTCTTTGCCAAACTCAAGGTGTGGCCTTAATACACTGATGTTTATGGTAAAGGGGGATGGAACAACAGAAAAGACACCTCTTATCCCAACAAAAATAAGATATTCACCAAAGAAAATTTGGATACATGCAAGCTCCTTTGACTCTGATCTCATCAGACTTGATTCAAATGAATTATCATGGGATAGTATATACTCCACTGAGTGAAATCAATTTTTACCTGGCAGACTGTCAAAGACTCCTCACAATCAACTAAGACTATTTTGGCAACCAACAAAAATAACAGACCCTCCATCAGTGGATTATTAATGAACTGAAAACCGAAGACAAATTGTTAGATAAACATAAAAACACTACATGTCCTAGAAAAGGGTTGTGGGTATATTATTCATCTTGGTGAATATCCTAGAATGACATATTATCTAATGTCTTGAGATAAAGTCACCTCTATTCTGGAGAAAAATTTCTCAAAAGCAAGTTGCTAGTCTTCTTCAGGTGAGAGGGACAGTTGGAAACATGGTGGCTCATGAAACACTATGCTCAGGGGTGATAATTATGTTGCTTTTAACAGCTGCAAATGATGCACTCAAAAATGTAAACCCTTTACACAGCTCTCTTTTTGTAACTTGTGTTTCCTGATTTTGGGCATTTATAAGAATTTCAGGAATTTTAATTCCACTGCCCCAATAACAGTAAAACTGTTACACGATTGGCCTTTTTCACCCTGCATGTCTAACAATAGAGACTGTCATACATGCATTGCTATCCACTGAATAGCAACCAAGGCCAGGTCAAAAGGTTTCATTAAAGGTGTAAGTTTGCTATGGAATAAAGTTACCTCTCCATCCTCACTCAGTCTTGTTAAGATTTGTTGATTAGAACAATCACAAGGCAGAATGGAAGATAGAGGAGGTACTGGGCCAGTCCAGTTACACTGGATGAAAAGGTCTAAACATGCCACGCCTATGAAAAACACCACTGCATGTCTGCAGAAAAATAGAGGGTAAAAATGTGATCAGTTGTCAGTTCTTTGCCAGACATTAAGCTTTACTTCATTAATTTTCATAAAACTGAATGTTTACTAGACTGCAAGTACGTAAAGTAGAAACTGTATACACCACTTTCATAAATGGCCGCCAGATTGATATTCTTCCCTGGTGAAAATCCTGTCCAGGATCCTGTAGGATCCTGTAGGATCCTGTAATATCCTGTAGGATCTTGAATAGGAACAGGATCCTAAGCAGGATCCTGTATAGGATCCGAATCCTGACTAGGATCCTAAAATTATAACAAATCCTGAATAGGATCCTAAGTAGGATCTTAGAGATATATAGGATCCTATGTAGGATCACTTTCCTGACTAGGATCCTAGAATGATAACAAATCCTGAATAGGATCCTAAGTAGGATCTTAGAGATATATAGGATCCTATGTAGGATCACTTTCCTGACTAGGATCCTAGAATGATAACAAATCCTGAATAGGATCCTAAGTAGGATCTTAGAGATATATAGGATCCTATGTAGGATCACTTTCCTGATCAGAATCCTGGGCAACAATAAGATCCTGGATAAATAAAAGATCCTATGGAAGATCACTATCCTGATCAGGATCCTGGGCAAGAGTAGGATCCTGGATATAAATAGGATCCTATTTGAGATCACTAGCCTGATCAGGATCCATGGAAAGAATAGGATCCTGGATATATATAGGATCCTATTTGGGATCACTATCCTCATAAGGATCCTGGGCAACAATTAGGGTCCTGTATAATTAAATAATTATACTAGAGGGATCCCATGTAGGAAGACTATCCTGATCAGGGGGTGGGAATCCATCAGTCTCAGGAGACTATGGAGTTGCGCACTGGGTGGTGATTCTGTTGCAGCTTCAGGATTGGGTGTGACTCGACAGGGAACTTGAGCAGAAGTAGGATACACACTAGATTGTTGTAAGGATCCCCAATATTCTTTAATTAAAGATCTGTCTATCCAACTAAGGACTCAGTAAAATAGGCTTAGTATTGGTGTCATATTGCTTAATTCTTTGATAATTTTTGATGATCTTTCATACTTACCACTCTTTCCAGAAACATGTGTACAGTTTGTTTTCAATCAGCCAGCACAGTAGAGTGTTTGATCTGTAGAGGGTTTGAGTTAGAACCAAAGGAGCCACGTGAAAGCGTTCTTTATCACAAACTCTAGCTTCCAAATTTGTGCGATGATATTAAATTAACAGACTACGCATGCTCATGTCAAATGAAATAATAATTTGTCTCAATTTTATAGGTTTATGGCTGTTTTCAGTGGTTAGGGTTATTTGCTTCAGGTTCAGTGAATATTGTCCAATAATCCCCTTCACTTTGTCTCAGGGATTATTCGACGATATTCACCCTGCCTTCAGTGAATAATTGTTAAATACAAAATAACGTTTTGCCTATATTGAATATTGCAGCTAGCTTCAGTAATTATCTAAATACATCCAGTTGACATGATATATAAGCTAATCATGTTGATAGCTTTTTAAACCTCTGATACATAGCCATCAATATTAGGCTCATCACTCTCCACAAAAACCACCCGTGTCTCGATCTGCACACAACGTATCAGTTTAAATCTCCTTGTAAATCGCACTGCAACAAAGTGATGCCCTAAGAAGCCAGATGACCAAAATGTTTGAACAACAGGATCTCTTGGAGGATCAATTCCTGATGAACAAATGTTCAAACCAATATTNTTGGTGAGAGGAACCTGCGAAACACCTTTGGAAAGCAATGAGGTTTACACAAGGCAGGAAGCAGGGTCTTCTTCACAGGTGCCATGATCTCATTTGTAATTATCTTCTATGTACATTTTCTAATATTTAGTGACATATTCTATAATCTTTGATACAATCCAATAAATATTGTCATTATGTTCTCAAACATATAACTCAAAATATGAAATTTGTTTAATCGTTTTAGGACAGCCTAAATAGCAGTTTCACTGGAGAAAGCTCGCATCAAGTGAAGTGCAAGTTGCCCTCCAACCCAGAAGAGGAAACTGAAATAGAAATTGTAAGTATTCAGGCACATTTATTGTGTTATGCTTCGTTCTTCAAAGTCGGATGGCCACTCATTTACATGTCATTGAATTGGAATAACCTCTATGGTGTTGTGCTTCATTCTTCAAAGCCGGGTGGCCGGATATTCTGCAATTGCTCCATTGTAACCATGTGTTTCTTTAAAAGTTCAACAAAGATTTATTTCTGTAAATGTGCTAATTGTTAAGTTATTTTGAAGGGATGTGGGTTAGCCCACCTCACAATAACCTTACAGTTTGTAAACTGTATATAGTTGTTTGCTAAAGCCTGTGAAAAATGATTCCAGTGTGCTTTGCTACACTTCAGCTGTTTTGTTACTTTTGTCAATACATGAATCTTACTACTTATAAGACCAGAACACTTTATTTCATAGGTGTTTGCAAATGACTATAATAAGTAATTATTAAAGGCATGACAACAGCCTTTCAAGTAGAAAATTTGCAACCTAAATGAAGCATAACTTTTTAATTGGTCTACATAAAAATAATTGATAAGACATTTTGGTTGGCTGTGTTTTCTCGTGCATTAATTTCACAATATACTTGAATTTAAAGTATGGTTTCCATTGTGGCATCTTTTATATCAATTTGTAGAAAAGATTATTCTCTATGCCAGTGTGTTACTTCTTCCTACTAGAGGTGCAATGCTTAATACCACAATTACACAAGTCCAATGCATGATCTATAATTTATAGTTAATAGTTATATGGATTAGGTCACTCATCACTATTGTCATTTCAGTGAAATATAGATTATGTCTACAATTAATGTAACAGTTGTAGACATGAGATTAAAATAAATTTATAAGACGCATCTACTTTATTTTCGTGCATTGATATGATCTTGTACAGAATTGTTATATATCCTGTAATTATGTTATATATCCTATAGAAGATCCTGTAGGATCCTATAGGATCTTGTACTAGATCCTGTAATATCTCATAAGATCCTAGTAAATCTTCAGGATCTTGTAGGATCCTACAGGATCCTATAGGATCTTGTACAGGATCCTGTAATATCTCATAGGATCATATACAGGATCCTATTAAATCTTCAGGATCTTGTACAGGATCCTGTACAAGATCCTATA